TTATATATATGTGAATTTTGGTTGCTGTGTGCGAATGACCCGCTTTTCATAGTAGACATGAAACTCCTTCCTAACTAATCCTTGGACTCATCTCAGTGTGAAAAAGAGTGTTCTACATTGGCACACCTATGAGTGCAAAAAAAATAAAAGACATTCAAATATTGCGGTAATAATTTTTTATTAAATTTTCAAAAAAAAAAATAAAAATAAAATAAATAAAATAAAATTAATTATTTAGCCTTGCGTTGATTTACATCTATATCTGATTTGTCGAATCTCCCAGTACTGAAGTTTTTAGTCAACATTATAAAACCACTGTGCCCCTGAGCTCTGATTGAAGTTCAGGAACTTTGTCCTGAAGCGGCAAACGCTGGGTACTTGTATCACTCGTCGGCTCCCACTTACCCGCGAGACTTCACCCTCTGTTACCAGCTCTTGGTTCTGTTGAAAGCATCACACATATTATGGGGCATGAAAAAATTGAATATTCTACACCCTCAAATTATAAGAGAATATTTTAATAAGTCTCAAAGGGCAGGTATTCTCTCTTCTCTCTTCAGTAAATTGTCAACAATTTTTCTCAATAAATTAAAGTAAATTTTAAATTTGCAACAGGATATCAAGGGAATCTAATCCTTTCAAATATAAAAAAATTTACCTTATACTCCAATGAGGAGATTTTCTGAGTAAGTTCCGCTAAGCTTTGAGACTTCTCAGCTTCACGAATTCTTGCCAGCATCTTCTCCTCCTTCATCTGAAATATCACAGAGATTCTGAAATCAACCCCCTACCAAATACGTTGCATACTTATGCTGACTTTAATCAGTAGTTCATTATCACTAAATGTTTCCCAAAGAATAATAAATATGGACTGCTTAACACTTACTTGGCTCTCAAGGTCAGTATACTTTCTCTTATGCTCTCCAAGCTGTGACTGCATGGTACGGATGGTAGCCTCAGCAGTGTCAAGAGACTCTTGTAATCGCTTGTTCTCTTCCTCCCGACGCTTCATTTGGTTTGTGGACACTATATACCATAAACTGCTACAGCTGTTTTCTCCAAGTGCTCAGTTCTGATAACTAAAAGCCACGTAAACTAGAGGTATTCCAGATTAGCAGATTAAGGTTCTTCTATACTACTTATGCGTTTGCTTATATGATTTAATATACCCAACACACATTAACTCCAGTGTGAGATTATGCTGATAAAAATGTATGTAATACCAGTTATCTTTACGGGACCAATTAGTTTTTATGCCAATCAAATTACCACCCATTTCAAAGGGGAAAGCTTAAAAAGCTGGATCTTTTGGAAAATGAATGGAAATACGCCGGATCCTAATTCCATTATGTCCAGAAATTAATGTGAATCCAACCAGTTAGAATCTCTTATAGATTTAGTGTTATTTCTGTTGAACAGACTTAGTTCGCGAACCTTTGTGTCTAGCCTCCTTTCAGCGTGTCTGCCACGTGAAAAAAGCAAGCATATACATAAGGGTTATCATATGCATTGCAACTTGAGAACGAGAGATCATGGAGATTTGATCATACCCCGATCAAGCTTTTGCCTAGCGATTCCATTGGCAGGGATCGGTCCCAGAAGAGACCGAACCGCAAATTTACTTGCTTGGTGGTGGGCTTGTAGCATCAGCCTTGGCAGCTTCACTCTTATCACCATGGTTCATCCGTTGAAATCCTAAGTCGTAAATTAAAGATTGATTATGAAATACTGAAGAAATTGCCATACTTCCATTTCTTTATGACCCAGTTCTTTCACTTTCACATCATTGCAAATATCACTTAACAATGTCCAGATATAATAAAAAAAGTCTGCACAGTACCTGCACATGCTTTGTCCACAGCTGTGTGAGTTCCTGAACTCTGTGTCTCAAATCCTTAAGGGCAAGATTAGCTTCAGCCTCCCTTAATCGCACAGCAATCAGCTCCTCCTGCAAGTGGGCCACAGAGTGGTCTGGAGTGGCTTCCCTCAGCTTCTTCTGCTCCTCCTCCAGCTCTTGGATTCTGGCTCGAAGGTCACGAATGGTTGCCTCTGCCTCGGCTGTCTTTAGTCTCACCTGCACATAATCAATGGATCTTTGATATTTAGCAAACAATTAAGTTTATGAACACCAACAACCAATTAAGGGATACCTCCATACCATCTGAGATATACAAGAGATGCAACAGTTTTCTCACCTGCACAAGCTCTTCTTGCAAACATTTAACAAGTTCTTCCTTCTGAGTAAGTTCTTCCTCCTTTATCATAAGTTCTGCCATTGATGATTCATGAGAAGAATAATTCTGAAACAAAGAGAAACCACAGTCTGTTCAACCATACATACATAACAAGTATAAATCAACTGCCTTCTGACAGTTTAACATTTACATTACTCATGCACCATAAATGCCACATAATTAGGTTTCAATTGACATGGCTATGTACTTACTTGTTGCAAATCTATCTTAATAGTGTTCAAGGTTTTGTTGTATATCAGGTCAATATGAAAGCTTTCTAAACACTTATTCCAAATTACCTGCATTACTTTTCTTCTTTCAAAGAACAAAGTTAGTCAATAGAAATCTTTCTTCCCAATACACGTGTAGATAAAAACTGGAAGAAAATCAAAGGTGGCCCCCTAAAAACTAAATGTACAGTGGAAAGACTTGATCATCTCAAAAGCCTTTTGCACTTCTTGAAGAACAGAAAAGAAATACGTCATACCTCCTCTATCATTCCTGTGAGCTTTCTGATCTTGTCCCGAGCATCTCTTAGGTGTTCCATGGTCTCTCCATCATGCTGTCTTAGAGCTGCTAGTTCACGCTAGAAAGGAAAAGATCATGAATTACTCCAGGAAAGAAAATTCACATCCAGAGGTATACAAGCTACAATATCTACTGACTAAAACAAAATGTATGCAAAATTTGAAGACATCATACTCCATATTACCTTAATGGCAAAGTTGTGTTCTGCTTCCTCTGCACGGGATACTTGGCCTTGAATCAATCTGTCTGCTAGAGCTGATGATTCAGCCTCCAGGCAGTCTATTCTTTGCCTAAGAAGTCTGTTCTCTGTTCTTAATCTCTGCAATGGTGAACCATACTTTAAAAAAATGTCTATAATAAAAAAAGGAAACACACCTAGATAGTCATATTTTACTGATTCGTTTCAACAAGAACTGCCTTGTCTCTTCTGTAAAACTAAAATGCTTCCTTAAATAACACAGTTTTTCTTACCTTTAATTCTACTAACTCTTCTTGCTCTTTGGTTTTCATAGCTGTATATTCTTTCTCCATCTTCTTCATCTTCTTAGGATTATAACGTAGGGAATAAGCTAGTGAAAAATAGGCTTCCGGATCAGCCTCAAATTTGGCAGGTAGGTCTCGTTGGAAATACTGAAATGTACATAAGTATTTAAATTAAACAAAATGAAATTGAAAAGACATAAGAGCAATTCTTACAAAATTCTCAAAAAGATGCAATAGATGTGTTAAATCAGAGCTGCTTTTCCCATACCTTGAGCATGCCCTCCATATCCATACAGAACAGGTCCTCCTTGCCTAAAGTTAAGCAAGCTAAGGCTATCCTGAATATAACTTCAATGCCATCCACTAGGAAACTATCCATTACACGGCAAGCCAGTGGCTGCGGAAGTGTTGTTGAAAACAGTGTCAAGAACCAAGACGAGGCATACCTGAAAAACAAAGACACTTATTTATGTATATGGCCAATGTTCAAGGTAACAAGTCCTCAATTAATGCCAACGAAACTGTATTTTGCTTCCATAAAATATCAATCTTGCATGTAAATCATCATGAAAAACAAGATGAAAAAAAGTAAATGACAAAAAAAAAAAAGATCAATACACTTACATAGATGTGTGGAAGCTCTGAGAGGTGAAGTGAGCATGAAGATCTGGCAGATGTTCTTGTATGAGGCACTCCAGCTGGTACATGCATAGGCCTAACTCCGCCATTGATGGCTTAAACATTTCACGCATCCTGTAGTCCTGCATAAGCTTCACAAGAACAGCAAATGCTTCCTCTTCAGGCATCTGGAAATAAACATTACATAATTAGCACTTCTACATTAAGGAATAACATTGCTTAGACATTATGATGGGATATGGTTATGTCACTGACTTTTCATTCTAAACAAAACTTACACTTAATATTTCATTGCTTCAGAACAACTACTTTGGCCTTTGTAATAAAAATTATCCTAAGGGAAAACAAATAATAATCAGAAAACAAAATATATGCATACAGTATCTAAAATACCACCAAACTAACCTGCATAAGTAAGAGACCAACAATGAAGGCTGATCCCTGGCAGTAGCCAACTTCCCGGTCATGTAGAGAATACGCCTTCATGACGTTAAAGAGACTCTCCTGGCCTAAGCCATCCTTTTCTTTGAAGAAGTCATGCTCTGGGTACGTCCGAGCAATATCTCGCCTGATCACCTATGATGGAGAGAGTATTTTAAATACATCTATCTCTAAATTAAAGCTCTTAAGATGTCTGCACTTCATAGTAATGGGATACTCCTTATCATACAAGGACAAGCCGTTCACAAATTCTACAAACCTTCTCACAAGCAGACGTAGTTCTGAGATATTCCGCATATTTGCCCTTTTCTGGTGAGTTATGTGCCGAGCAGAGGAGCTGCCATGTTATTCCTCGGAAATGGTGAGGGATGCCCTTGCGCACAAGCTCCTAATAAAAGAAATAAAATATACATATATGAAATTAAAATGCCATAAACACTATACATATGCATGTTGATGACAAAGCTATGAAAAAAAAAAATAAATAAAAAATAAATAAATAAATAAACCATTACATATGTATCATCTTCTTTCATGTCAAGACCTACAATACACTTCAATGCAAACCACATAAATTCCCTTAAAAGAAAGGAAATACCAACATGAGAGTCCAACCCACCTTGAGCTGCAAACTCTTCTTCTTCTGCCATGTCTCCCAGTCGTTGACCAGCCTACCCCACTGCCCCCAGAGGTCCTCTTCTGGGTCCTGCGATTGCGTCCCGCCAGTTGAACCCCCGCCAGAGGAACCCCCGGAACCCCCAGAAGCCACCGAAATCTGCAACCACATCATCACATTACAGATATCATTAACAGTTAATATCAAACCATTTTTCCAGTCTATACATCAATGTGTATGTGTGTGTGTGAGTGTGAATGTGAGTGTGTGTGAGAGTGTGTGTGCATGTGAGTGTGTGTGAGTGAGTGGAGTGAGTGAGTGAGTGAGTGAGTGAGTGTGTGAGTGAGTGAGTGAGTGAGTGAGTGAGCCAGTGAGTGAGTGAGTGAGTGAGTGAGTGCACATGTGTGTGTGTGCACATGTGTGTGTGTGTGCACATGTGTGTGTGTGTGCACATGTGTGTGTGTGTGTGCACAATGTGTGTGTGTGTGTGCACATGTGTGTGTGTGTGTGTGTGTGTGTGCACGTGTGTGTGTGTGTGTGTGTGTGTGTGTGTGTGTGTGTGTGTGTGTGTGTGTGTGTGTGTGTGTGTGTGTGTGTGTGTGTGTGTGTGTGTGTGTGTGTATGTGTGTGTGTGTGTGTGTGTGTGTGTGTGTCTGCGTGTGCGTGTGTCTGCGTTGCGTGTGTCTGCGTGTGTGTGTGTGTCTGCGTGTGTGTGTGTCTGCGTGTGTGTGTGTCTGCGTGCGCGTGTGTCTGCGTGTGTGTGGCGTTGCTGCGTGCGCGTGCGTATATTTTAAGTGTCAAGTGTCATGGTAAGTCTGTATATGTAATCATCTATGCATTCTCTAACAGATCATAAAATGTAAATGCTGACAAAACAGGGTAGACGGAAAAGACGGAAAAGGTTAACACAAGTCTTTCTACCAAACGCAAATCAGAAATAAAAATGTGTATGGCAAGGGCGAGGTGAAACTGACATGCGAGAGATGAGTTAGAGGGGAAGGCGGGGTGGGGTGGGGGAGCAGGCTAGGGAATAAAAAATATGCAATCGGAAATGAAGAATACAGAAATGGAACGAGGGTAGAAATTGCGAAAGTACGAAACGAATATACATGCGTAACATTGATAAGGAGAAAATGAGAATGAAGTAGAAAAGCAAGGAGAGAAGGAAAGAAGTTGGAAAAGAAGGAGGGAAGGAGGGCAGGTGGAAGGGGCTCGTCGACAGAGGACGAGGGAGTCCGACGAGAGACGCACCTGAGACGTGTCTGAGGACTTGCGGGAGTGGCCGGCGCCTGGGGCGGAGCCTACAGACTGCGTCGAGAGAGAATTGAGGGACTTGGAATCGGACTCGATCAACCTGGAAAGAGAGAAAAAAAGACACCCATTAACAATCAATCATACGATGACACATCTCATACATTTGAAATTTGTAAATTAGTTCCTCTGGTCGGTGGCTTCCGTCTGCTTTGCTGGCATCAGAGATCGCCGACACTCGTGGGCACTTGGGTAAACAGTAAACAGTAAAATACAATAAACAGAATTCAGCTGACTTTAGTGAACATACATGCATTGCCCATTCACGACAAATGGAACTCGGCAACACTCAATGTCGTAAAGCGAACGATAATAAACTATTCAAGGGAGCTTTTGTACCCCTGGAAGTGGAATGTGCCGTACCTGACGTTCACACACTGCCCTCGCATTACCTAATGAGAGGGGTCAAAGTTACCATTAATGATGTAAATGATTTAAGATCTGCAGCGACACACAGGTATTTCCCTCCTCAATGACCTGTGTTTAACATGCATAAAGAGTCTTCTCCCCACGAATCAAACCAGTATCTCCAATATTCCCTACAGTGTTTACCCTTCAAGATGAACTCAATAATTCTGTTGCTCGTAAATGGCTGACCGTCATATACCACCATGAGTTTAAACCATCGCGCGGCATAAAATCCTGAAGTGTTGGCCCACAGGCAAACAAACATCGCGTTATTAAAAGCATAAAGGATGGGCTACTTATGCATAATTAGCAAGTGCGCATATCTAGCGAAAGATCCCCCAGGTATCTCACCGTCCGCCATGAAGTGTCTAGGATGCGAAGTGAGGAGGGGAAGAAAGAAAGAAAGAAGAAAGAGAGAGAGAGAGAGAGAGAGAGAGAGAGAGAGAGAGGAGAAGAGAGAGAGAGAGAGAGAGAGAGAGAGAGAGAGAGAGAGAGAGAGAGAGAGAGAGAGAGAGAGAGAGAGGAGAGAGAGAGAGGGGGGGGAGGAGGGATAGAGGGGGAAGAGAAGAGAGAGAGAGAGAGAGAGAGAGAGAGAAGAGAGAGAGAGAGAGAGAGAGAGAGAGAGAGAGAGAGGAGAGAGAGAGAGAGAGAGAGAGAGAGAGAGAGAGAGGTGGGGAGGGATAAGAAGGGTGGGAAAGAGAGAGAAAGAGGAGGGGAGGGGTTACGGACGGAGAGAAAGGGGGGGAGATAGGGGAGGGGGAGGGCAAGAAAGGGAGAGAAGGGGACGGGAGGGAAAGGGAAGGGAGATGGGAGATGAGGGGAGAGGAGAGGAGAGGGGGAGGGGGACAGGGAAAGGGGAGAAGGGACGAGAGGGAAGGGTGGAAGAAAAAGGATAGGAGGAAAAGGGGAATGGAGAGGGAGGGGAAAGGGACGGGCGAGGGAGGGGAGGGGAGGGGGGGGGCAAGAGGAGGATAACTTCTTCCGCTGCTTGAAGGATATTAATAATTCAAGCGCGGCGTGAGAGCCTCGTGTACGCAGATTATGCTGGAAGCAGTCTCACCATTTCATGAATTTTAATGAGTGCGACCTGAGAGTGAGCTCACCTGTACGCAACTACTCCCTTCTGCACACCCTCTCCTCCTCCTCGTTTTCGCCTTCTTGCTTTTCCCGTTATCTTTCCTCTCCGTTAATTCCCCCTTCCTATCCATCTGTTCTCTCCTCTCTCGACTCACTGCAGTCTCTGCTTCCTTCCCGCAATTTTCTTCTTCATCTTCTACTACAGTTAACTCCCATCCCTTCTCTTTACTTCCCCTTCCCCTTTCCTATTCCTATTCCCATTCCTTTTCCCTTCCCTTCCCCTTTCCTATTCCCATTCCTTTTCACTCTCCCTCCCCTCCCCTTACGTCAAAACAAGGCACGTTGCCCCCAGGACATAGTGCCGTCAGATGACAGACGTCTGATCCCATCTATCAGTCCGCCTATCTCCCAAATCAGTCAGTCGCTGTCAACCAGTCAGTTAGTCCGTCCGTCAGTCCGCAGGCTTTTCTCTCCGTTCGCCTGTGCGCGCGTGAATGCGTGTGAATCCGATCCCGAGTCTGAGAACGGCGAGCGGTGTCGAAGGCTCCTCCAGACTCCCACAGGAGAATCGTCCGAATGTAACAATTTCCCCAAGTTCTCCCACAGCGTCGACTGGAATCAGCAGGGAGAGGGCACAGGGATAGGAGATAGGGGAATATAGGAAGGCGAGAAGGGGGTGTGGGTGTAGAGGAAGAAAAGGAGGAGAGGGAGAGGCGGACGGGTGGGTGAAAGAGGAAAGGGAGGCAAGTGGGCGTGGTGGGCGGCCCAGTCTACCTGTGAAATGGAACGGCGAAGTACGACACCACCTGGCGAAAAGGTAATTAATCTCCGACGTAAACACTCAACTAGTCACCTCTCCTCCAGCGTATGATAATTACGTCGACGTAAGTACAGCACACGATTAGCATATATGTAAACTTTCTCTCTCTCTCTCTCTCTCTCTCTCTCTCTCTCTCTCTCTCTCTCTCTCTCTCTCTCTCTCTCTCTCTCTCTCTCTCTCTGTGTGTGTGTGTGTGTGTGTGTGTGTGTGTGTGTGTGTGTGTGTGTGTTGTGTGTTGTGTGTGTGTGTGTGTGTGTGTGTGTGTGTGTGTGTGTGCGTGTGTGTGTGTGTGTGCGTGTGTGTGTGCGTGTGTGTGTGTGTGTGTGTGTTAGAGAGTGAGAGAGAGAGTGAGAGAGAGAGAGAGAGAGAGAGAGAGAGAGAGAGAGAGAGAGAGGAGAGAGAGAGAGAGAGAGAGAGAGAGAGACAGACAGAGAGACAGAGACAGACAGACAGACAGACAGACAGGACAGACAGACAGACAGACAGACAGACAGACAGACAGACAATCAGTCAGTCAGATAGACATACACACAGACCTATCACCAGAGACAATTGCGGATGATGACATCCCAGTACATTCTCATCCTTGAAAGCAAATTAAAATGAATTTTTTACAAATCAAGAAGACACCAAGAGAGAAATAAAAACAAAAAAACAAGTGCCTTTAATAGACGTGATAACGCAGTGACTTTATAAATAAAATAATAAAAGATGCTTCGTCAGCTGCCACTGCCAAAAAGAATGAAATTTCACTTAGTGACAAAGAGAAATAAATGGAATTTCCGGGGGAGTAGGAAAGGTAATAAAGGTATGGAGGTAGATTGTGCTTCGGAAACGGGAAACGGGAGGACAGACTTTATGAAAATGTTCCTTGAATAACCTTCATGAAAAACTTGGATGACCTTGATGAAAAGCTTGCAAAACTGTGAAGGGCATTTTGGTAAACATCAATGCTGACGCGGCAAATCATGAAAATATAATGAGAGGGGTATGAAAATGCCAATTAAAAGTATTAAAAGCATGAGTGGTTAAAAACCCAGACTCTCGCACCAGTTCCTGCCCCATTCGAAGACCTCGACGATGAGGCTCCTACGTCGGTCGCCGGCGTTTTTGGGCCGATGGTCCTCCGCTGTCTTGTGCCGCGTCCGCTCGTCCTGCTGGAGGATGCTGGTGGGGGCGCTACTGACGGAGATGCTCCTGCTTGGGAGGGAGTGGCCCAAGAGCTCCCCCGACGTCACCACCTGCGACATGGAGCGCTGCACCCGCGGCCGGGACGCGTACCCGCCGAACATCCCAAAGGCGTCGTCATCGTCGCTGGCGTTGGCGTCCATGGTGCCGGAAGGACGCTCGTCCTACCTCAGCCCTCCCTCTCGAGGGACCGCGTCGCGCTACAATTCACTGGGTCCGTGTCGCGTATCGCCTCGCATTCACTCCTCTGGCTCATCACTACCACTTTCAGGATGCACTGTGTCACCAACAACCATCCTGGTTCGCAGTTCCGCTTCGGGGAAGTCCCCAGACCCTTCACTCTCGCGCGGGACGACGCTCGCGGCCAAGCATCGCGTCTCCTCAAAGCCAGCGCCGTCTTGACTCAAGGGCGCCGCGGCCAAGAAGAAACGCACACGCGAGAAATCATGGCGGCTGAGATATCAAAGAGTCATGAATCAGCCAATGGCTGGCCGCCTCCCACCCTGCACTGTCACTGTTCCAACTCACGCGAATAATTCTTTGATTTCATGCTCTTATTGGCGGCAAGGAGGCTCTTTTGATTCCTTTGCTAATCACTGTATATATAAAAAAAATGTCAATTATGAATTTCATTGTGAAAATAAGGTTAACGTGCACGAATCACTAGTTTTTACTGCTTCCCCATGAGAGCGCATGGCGATGTGAATGCAGTCATGCAATGCGATTCCGATCTCCGTTCAGAGTAACCCTGCCTGTCAGTTCTCTTGCCACCTCCGTTATTCCCCCTCCCTTCCTCACTTTCCCTATCCATTCAGTCAAAAGGACACGCGAAACGACCGTTTAAAAGCGGTTGATGATAATGGGCTTTGCGGCATTATTCTCCCCTAGCGATACCCCGCCTATGCCCCACGATTATTTATTCAGCCACCGCCTGTTTCCTTTCTCCTCCCTTCCCGCCTCCGCTGTAACAACACCCCCTCCCCCGCTCTCTCGTCCACCTTCTCCCCCCAACCAGCCACCAAAACACCCCAACCCCCTAACTTTCCCTCTCTCTCAAGTGTTATAATTAGGCGCGAAGGTGGAAGGGTCGCCGGTGGACCTGAAGCAGTTCGAGGAGTCCACTAACGTCTGAAGGAGCCGGGATCTTGAAGCCCCGAGTGTCTTGGCTCACCTTACGCATAAACCTGCATTATAATGTACACAAACGGCCGCGGGGCTTGGGTTACCCGCACGAGGGGTGGGCGAGAGGTTGAGATCTCTTTGCGTACAACCTCTCCTTGCGTTTCACGGCCGGGAGGAAAGCCAAACAGACGGTGATGGCGCGCACGGCGAACGGGGTCGATTCAGAGCGCTTACGGGAAGCGTTTTGGCGCGGCGATTATTCAGCACTGAGCGCCGCACCGGGAGCGCCCGACCCATCACCTTTACAATAACGCCCCTTAAATCACAAAAGATGGATCGCACCGGCTGTATCGCTTGCAATACGAAACCCCGCACACGACGCATTTAGGGACGGAATGCTGCTTGGGGCGGACGGTAACATATGTAAAGTACCCGACGACGAGCAGCGTTCAAGCATAGGGTGTCCGGGCGACGGCCCCAGCTCTCTCTTTCTCGCCCGTATTCCTTAACTAACCTCTTTCGTCCCCTCGCCCTCTTTCTATCCATCTTCCTCCCCTCCCCCATCATCCCTCCTCCTCCTCCCCTAAGGGCCCCCTGCATAACTCTCATTCTTCACTTAATTAAACGAGTTAGGCTTATACCTATACATTTGCTCTAATATTATGCGATCTTGTACAGTAACTACAGCTGAGTCCCCATAAAGAAATCCAGTGTGAGGTAGGTGTTTATGGGTGTGGGAGGAAGGGGGGGATGTGGGTCATGCCCATGCCCTCCCCCAACCCCGCCCACACCCGCAGATGACGTCACGGCCTCTAATGGGCTCGTCTAGTGTCTGGTCTAGCGGCACTAAGGCCCTCGAATTCAGAGATGCCGAGCTTACGTGAGCCCATACGCCCTCTCGCAACGAGCCGCCGAAGATCCCATACGCCACATAGGGATACGACCTCACTCCCCTCCTCAGGGTAGTCCCTCGACGTGGTGACGTCACCCTCCCTACATCTCGCCATGACGTGACATAGGGTTGGGCGTGGGCGTGGGCAGGAGGAGAACGAGCCCTGGTAACAGATACTAAAAGACGGATCATAAAAGACCCAAAGAACAAGGCCGAAACACACACTCGTCACCCTCGGCTGTATTAAGTCGGTCGCTTGGAGGAGGGCTGACAGAAGGGTGTGATGACAGAAGGAGAGAGGACGAAGAAGGATGACCAGGCGGAGACAAAGCTAGAGGGGGTGGGATGGAGAGGGACAGAGGGAGGGAGGAGGCCGTTAGGGGTACTGGGGTGCATCTGCCGCCATTCTCCTGTTCTACACAATCGTAAATCAAGGCCTTGTTATTATTACCTCCGTCATAGGAGGAGGTTATACAAGACCGGCATTTGTTTATTGGTCTTCGTTACTTATAAGAGTTGTACCCGACCTTTTTTAATATCGCTATCAATTCTTACGAGTGATATCACAGATATTGCAGTGATATAATAACTTTTATATACTATTTTGTCACTGACATTTACTGTTGTTATCACAGCTTTTATCAAGTCCATTCAATATATTCAAATGCGTATAGTTTTGCTTTTCCGCATATACATTCAAATAGTATATTTATATCATGCATCCATTTATCATAGTCGAAACAGCTGCTCAGTGCTGACCCGAGTTCTAACGAAGCCAAGAAGCCACTTTCGCCTCACCTTCCATTCTTACTCTTCAATAGCCTACATAATGAGTGGTCAGTAGATCAACGTCAAAATGTGCGAGTCTCGTGCTGGGGATAACGGGAGCAGCGCGTGGCTTCTACAGCGAGGAACAGCCCTCACTTCAAGGCAACTGGTATAAAAAAAGCGTACAAATAAAGCAATATCCAAGTTAAGGTGTCCATCCGCCCCTTCAAGTTCACCCTGTGTTGACATACCGATGTAACAACTCGTCCCCGGGTTTTTACAGGTCTGTCAACAGTTACTCAGATAGTGCGATAAAAAAAAAATGCGTGGGTTGGCCGCGGCTCAGAGATCAGCTGATTAAATTTCGGCGGTGGGCGGGATCCGCACTCACAGGTCTATCGTGAAATATTAAAGGATTCATTAACAGCCCGATCCTCTGATGGACGCGCGGGGGAAATCCATTCTAATTTCTAATGGCTGTAGCGGTCGTGTGCGCTTTGAAACTCGACTTTCAAAGGTTTCCGATCTGAGGGCTCTCCACTCGGAAATAATACCGACAACAACGACAATAACAATATGCAAAAACGTACTTTAATTCCCCAATTTCAAAATTAACGAACCAGACATAATGGCGAACAGGCTCCCACAGGACACAGCACATCAGAGGGTCAAAAACGGCACATAACCAAGGACTGGCATCCGTCCCTTGTGCCAGACGACAATTAAGTCTGTGGCCATTCCCTCCCTCAGGAAGCTTTCTTGCTCTCTTAGCGGATGCGCAGGAATGCTGTGTGCAGGGTGAGTGAGTGAGTGAAAGAGTGAGTGAGTGATGGAGTTGAGTGAGTGAGTGAGTGAGAGTGAGTGGTGAGAGTGAGTAGTGATGAAAGAGTGAGTGAGTGAATGAAAGAGTGAGTGAGTGAAGAGTGAGTGAGTGAAAAAGAGTGAGTGAGTGATGAGTGAGTGAGTGAGTGAGTGAGTGAGTGAGTGAGTGAGAGTGATGGTGTGAGTGGTGGTGGTGTGTGTAAGAGTGAGAGTTGTGAGAGTGTGTTTGGTGTGTGTGTGTGCGTGTGTGTGCATACAAGTGTGTAATGCACATGCTTTATGATGCCTGAGAAAGATAATGGAGAGTGAAAGAAATGACAGCGGCGGGGAAAAATATGAAGAATGTAAAATAAAGAGAAAGGAAATACGAAATGGAAGAGCAGAAGCCGAGGATGCGAGCCAAGAGCACGGGGCAGTTTCTTAGGCCTATCCTCATTTCCCAGTCTTCCCTTTTCGCAAACCACAGAAAAGAAATTCGGAATGCCAAGCTGACCGATCAAACGCATCGATCTCACACGCAACCAACAAGCAAAGGCTGCCTCGGTTCACCTCTCGAATCGCCAACTTGTGAGTCACGGACCATATGGGCAAAACGTATTGGAGTTAAGCAGTCAATTAGACAGCCAAGATTCTTAATAAGCCATGCAGGCGCCCTTACCCTTCCTCCCCCTCACCCCCCCCCACATCCATCCGGGCCATGCAGTCCAGGATCTGCAAACGTTCTTATCGCCATTCCGAAGGACAAGAGCGGCCCCTTATCCCACTTGGCGCTTTAGTCCCCGTCAGGAGGCGCGGCGCAGAGGTCGGTAAGTACATCCTAACAGGACTCAACACGTCGGTGCTCAAGTCCTTAGCCCTTCCTCGGATGGGATGCGAAGAGGGAGCTTAGGGCGTTCCTTGGCTCCCTCCCGCTTTCCTACCCTTCGCCATCTTCCCCCCTCCTTTCTTCTCTCTCTAACTCCCTCCATCTATCTCCCTGTCCCCTTTCCCCCTCCCTTTCCGCGTCCACTGTCTCCCCACGTAAAGACTGTAGGATCCGTCGGCCATAAACGCGAGAACAAAACCCGAGCAACGACGCGAAAGACGCACCACGATCTCTGCAACAAAGCAATCCCACAACAAAGACAACTTCAACGTCGGGAAAAGCGTGATCGAGACATGACCGGCGTGACAATGGAGGCCCAGACACGCACTGACTAAGACCCCGCGTGTCGGATTAGGAATGTCTACTGTTGTACTAATAATATGACATGACATGGCAAGTACGTGCAAAATATGCTGAATGTCGGGTTTGCATCACATTCGTAAAAAGATTACGAAATAACTTACTTTGGTACTGAACTCTACTTTAGCACAAAAATATATATCGTGACATGACAAGTATGTGATTCGTGCCGATTGCGTCATACTGACCACCTAATTATATAAGAAAATGCGTCGGTGGCGGCGATGAAACTGGAGCAAAAAAACGGAAAATAGAGAAGAGAATAATGACAATGAAGATGACTGACCATGGAAATGACATGGTTTGCCGATGGATGACAAAAAAGATGATGGTGATGGCAATTCGATGATGATGCCACTGTATCATCAAACCACCATTACCCTCATCACCATTCTATCAAATCATCACAACTCCAAAAAAAAAAAAACTACGCCAGAGAGACCATTAAAAGAAACCAAGGAATCCCTCTGCGGTCCGATTCGAGGCCGTCCCTTATCTCCCGAGAGCCTTGTAAGGAAGGCCCTCCATCCGCCGTGTCCCTTCCCCGCCCCGGCGCCCGCTCCGCCACACACACGTCCTACAGACTTAAGAGAGAGCATTTTTTTCACTATTTATTTACGATTTCAATTCTTTTTAAAAAATAAATGAATAAAAGAATAAACGACTTCAATTCTATTTTTTTTTTAAATAAATGAATAAAAAAATTGCCATATATGGAATTAGTCCTATACGCACATATTTTCGGCATTCACTCTCTCTTCAGCTCG